AAAATAAACCCAGAGATAGTGTTTATACAGGTCATTACTTTGTTTGCAGTTTTCTATCCCAAACTTAGGATAATAACTTAGGATAATTAGAATAATCTTTCATCACTTTATCTGTAATATCTAAGAAATTATAGTTGCATGTTTTGAAACATAAAAGGGACATTCATGAAATTTAACCGCTAATCATTACTTAGAAACTACCTACAAGGATAATGGATTTTTTCCTTGAAGACATGAAGTCCACGTTGAATACAGTTTTGAAACATTTTTATTAAAATACATTATTTTTCAGAAGAGTGATTTTGCTATGGTAAAACCTGTGGTTGCAAATAAACATTTCAAAACAAATCAAGAGAAGAGTGATACAATTGGACAAATTTGTGTTTCTCAAATTACACAGGATGTATAGAAAATGTAAATTCAGATACATAATACTGAAAATTGTACTATCCTGTGCACAAATAGAAGCTATTAGCAATGTAGTCCATGCGAAAGTATACGTTATTAAATATGTAGAAATAAGTTTGAACTTTGCAATACATTTTATAATGTAGCAGTTATTGACAATTTCCAATACAGAAGGTTCATTGCTTATCTTTCTCAGAATTATTTGTTTTTCCTCAGCAGGTTATTTTTTTCTCTAAAATCAAACTAGCAATTGGAATGGTATTTTTCTGAGGAAATAAATGTCCTTGTTTAATTTTACTGGAATAGTGATGTAATCATATCTTACACTCCTGAGTCAGTAAGTAGAAAGCTAGCATGCTGTGGCCATTTAAATTTAGAAATCTTGGCATATCATTAGTACCCTCTGCCATAGTGGTGGGATTCAAATATGTGAACAACCGGTTCTCTGTGTGGATGCCGCTTCCGGAAGTCTGTTCTGGGCCTGGGCAACAAAAAATTAGCTACCGGTTCTGCCAACGTGGTACAAACTGGCTGAACCCCACCACTGCTCTGCCAGCATTTCACAGAGGAAAATAGTATCTTTGAGTCATATTATGAGTCAGCGGATGAAGAAGAAGATTCTGTTCTGCATCCCTTTGTGATTTAAAGTATTTATGTGTCACCATCCAGGGAAATGTTCTCCCAAAGCAGCTTCCTGAGGTCACTTAGTTAATAGGGAAATAGATAGAAAAACATTATATTTACGCCTAGTACAATCTATTTATAATAGTGAGGCACACACCCCCCACACACACTCAGTAGCTGTTCTTTTATTATCTACTTCTGTTTCAACCTTTGTTCCTTACCCGAGATCAGAGTTTCTCAGACATTTTGGTTTTAGGATCCTTTTGCATGCTTAATAATTTTGGAGTACTCCAAAGAGCTTTTGTTTGTTTGAGAAACTAAAACTGAGAAATTTTAAAATATTTATTTAGCTGCATGGATCCTCTAAGGTCTTGAAGATTTCCAGCAATTCTCCAGACCACATTTTGAAAGATGCTGCTCTAGAAAACTGCTGCCTCCATCTTAATCTGCAGTTTATATTTATTCACGTATATTCATGGGGAGACATGATGTGAGATTGACCTTACCTGAATCTAACCTAAGTCAGTCTCTTTTGTGAAATGATTAATATTTTCCTAAATTACAGCAAATGCTCAATAAAGAAATCTGGATTTCTCATTTGAATTAGACATTTTCCAATTATTGTTTATACAGTACAGAACTTGACCAAATATTCACCTGCCACCTCTCCACAATTTTTAAAGTGACTACTTATTAAAAACAGTAAGAAGAGTCTATATATTCCCCTCTCTTTTAAACAGTTTTTTCAAAAATATAAATAAAGAATTCTGAAAGAAAGAAGTACATAATCTACATATAGGTTACTGATTTCCTGTAGCTGGGCATATTTCAGCCTTTGTTTTGTGAATCGTTATTTATTTTATTGCTACAGTTAGTTCAATTTCATGAATTTAGGTAACAGAATTCTATACGACTTTTGTTTAAAACACAGCTGAGGCTGATTCACAAATTTATTTGTGACAATTTTTATAAGCCTTGATGTATTGTGAGAATGCTGAACTGAATATCTGAATGCTGTGGCATGCTCAGATACCATTTATAATTTACAATTATAGTCCCCTCAAAAGTATTAAAGATTAATTCAGCCTTGAAGGAGAATTATTGTTTAAGAGGTAAATATTGAAGTAGAAAAGTGTGACTAGTGTGACTGGTGAGCTAGTCCAACACTACACATTACAGAATCTTCTGAGACAAAGTTCTCATCTCATCCACCTTGTTCTCTGAAACAATAGAAACCAGTTATCCGTGTTTGGTTTTGTTTTTTAGTTTTGATTGAAACTTTGCCACAATAACAATTCTGTAATATTCCTTGCTTTGGCATGTTATGGTATGTGTTTGTCTCCAAGGTGATTTCAAGGATTATTTCTGTCATCCCCCCCCATCTTTTTTTAAAAATAATTATGCCAGCAGCTCTAGTGTTCATCCTACAGGCAGGCATAATTCAAATACAACAATAAATATTGTATGAACGTACAGGCACAAATCTAAGCGTAATGCTCTCGTTCTCTCTTTCCTTTGTGATTTTTTTTTCTATTGAAGCAAGTCAGTCTTGAGCCAGTTTATGAAGTCGTGTTTTAATACATCCCAAAAGTCCTCGGGTTTCTAATGACAGTTGAGATGTGAATTTCCTTTGCTAAGTGATGTGGTTGTAAAGGGTGATGTCATATGAGCACCTCATGTAGTGACAGCAGTCTCAGTTGCCACCATAATCCCTGGGCTGCATGGGTCATTAAGTGAGGATCTCCCCTGGCCATGTCTTTGGAAGAGGTATGAATCCCAGGAAAGAAGGCTGGTGGGAGAGAGCCACAAGCTGGTGGGGTGGTAGTGGTGGCGGCATAAAGGGGTGCTACAGAGTATGGGTAGATGTGTGAAAAAACAGCAGGGGTGACTTGCTACTTCCTGCCAGCTTCCCATTGACTTTGTTTGTGAGAAGTTGGCAGGGAAGCTTGCAAATGGCCTTCATGTTATGCTGCGCCCCGTGTAATTGCAAACTGGTTGCTAAGGGCTTGAATCGCGATCACATGGCCATGGGGAATCTTCAATGGCCTTAACTTCGAGGACCAGCCTTTGAAAGTTACTGAACAAGTGGCGATAAACTGAGGACTATTTGTATAGATCTACCTTCCTAGATATAGCCTCTAAAATAGGCTACATAGACATTAAAAATAAAGAAATGAACCACAATTTGTTTTTTACATTAATATATAAAGATGTTGAACAGATAATGGATTCTTTGGGTGTTTTCTATCTGTCTGTGAAGGATTAAACAAGTGAAGCAGGAGTCCATGGTTCTGTAGTTATCTCTTATTGGACATAATGTAAAGTACTACCCCTTTTCATTTCCTCCTCCTCCTCCTCCTTTAGAATTGATCAAAATTTAGTTCTCAATTTGTTTAACAAAAACAAATTGTCATGGTTCCAACAGACAGAGACAAATAAAGCAGAACTCCAAGGCTTGCAAATTCCTCAAAGAACATATTTATTAGTTACAAAATATCTGCACGGTCAAAAGTGAAACCAAGTCTGGATACAGAAGCAATAATTCCCCAATACAAAGTTAAATGTCCTACCCACAAAAGTTATGTAAGCAACTACGTTCCCCAATATGATTATTTGGTGGGCTTTTTATGAAACACCCAGTCTCCAGTCTCAGGAGCAGCCGATGACCTTGGTTCCCATGGGACAAAAGGTTATTTTGACTAGCGAAGAACCTGGGCAACCTCCCTCCCCCCGTTCTATGTGGCAACCTAGAATGAGAAGGAAAATGGCTACAGCCATGCTCATTTGTAGAGTTGACACAAATATTTTTATTATTCCATCTTCATACATATATAAAATAATGTAAAGCAAAAATAAACAATTTACCATACAGAAAAACAAAAGGAAATAAGAACTCTACAAAAGTAAATACATAAAAAGAACATTGAAACAAAAAAGCAACTATATCCCAAGCTCACCTGATTTTGTAAATCTTTAAAAAGAAAAATTAAGCTTTTAATGTTGGCCAAGCTTGTTCAATTTTTTCCCCAAAGGTAGAGATAATATGACATTTTTTGATTAACTAAATATATAATTTTCTCCAAAATTGCTAAATCACATATCTCTGAAATCCAGCCATTTATCCCTGGAGTTATGGCATTTTCCATTTCCTAAGGATTATTCTTTTTGCTACTATTATAGAGCACAAAAAATTCTGCATTAAAGAAGACATCCCTGAATTTAGGATGCACAACAAAAAGGATGATTAAACAGAAAAAATTCACCTCCCTCCACTGTTGTATTCCTAATAGATCTAAGAATCTAATAGATCTAAAAAGAAAATGTGTATAGGTAAATAGGGTCTAATTTATGCAGCACATTTTGTACCTGTAGCATATATCATTATGTTTTTTTAATAAATCAAATTTGATTCATGTGGACAATTTGAACATTAATTATGTCCATATGTAGATATCCAGTTTTGTTGTGCATAGGCTTTGTGTTTTTTGCTTCAAGTCAGTGACGCTTTGATTCCTAGTGATTGCTTGGACTAGGCCCTGCAGTTTTCTTGGCAAGATTTTTCAAAAGTAGTTTGCCATTGATGCTTCCTTCTTAGGGCTGAGGTAAAGTGAGTGGCCCAAGGTCATCCAGTTGGCTTTGTGCCTAAGGTAGGACTAGAACTCATGGACTCCCAATTTTTAGTGTAGATGCCTTAACCACTGTACCAAACTGGCTTTCATAGGCATATTTAGCAATTACCAATATATTGAAGAGATTGTGTAATCTACCTCATAGAGTAGAACAAAGTTTATGATCTGGCTATTAAAGGAATGGTCTTATGGAATTGCAAGTTGTTAAGAATGATCATTTATTTCAGGGATTGGTAAAAGATATTGAGGTACAATAAGTGCCTCTTATGAGCTCAGAATAATCTCTCTGCTTGTCTAGCTTTCTTTTGAAGATAATTGATGCTTTTCCTTTTTTCTTAGTGGTGTGACAAGAATCGTAGAGATACCTGGGGAAGGAGGCCCACTGGGGATACATGTGGTACCATACTTTTCATCGTTAAGTGGAAGGTAAGATATTTTCATTATGGAGAAGCAAAACAGTGGAAAATGTCATCAGATTTTTTTCCCAGATATCAGCACCAATATATACTTAACACAATGTACATATTGAAAATCATAATCTTTTTATTCTGTTGAATAGTGAAGGTTCCATTTTATAAACCTAGAAGCCTAAGTTAAAATTAATGTTAAAACCAATTCATAATTAAAAGCCTGACCAAAGAGAGACACCTTTAAAGATCTGTGATCCAGATATTGAATTGTGAGTATGACTGCTGATTTCACCTTAATAAAAAGGCTAATATTCATTCCCTAAACCATCTGTAGGTGGAGGATGGCTCAACTTCTCAAAAGAGAGAGGCTTCCTCTCTTATATTGAAAGAGCCTAAGAAAGAGTACTTGACTTGATTTGCAGGTTTATAGGTTGTTCATTGGGATAGCAAAATATTTGCTAGAGAATTGTTCTAGTGAAGTCTGTCAAATAGACCTCCAATATCATCTACTTCATATAGCCAATGACAAAAGACCAGAACCAAAACTAGCAGGATTATACTCTGCACTTTTCAGCATAGATCATTTACCAAGGTGAATATAGCTGAAGGAGTAATTTAAATACATCAAGATAATCACTAAATTCACATGCAACAGGATTACATGGCCAAAGATATTTTGATTTGCTTTCCAGGAGGTGTACATTTGAGACTGGTTTATAGTTGTTCAGATCCCTTGGATTATGGATAGATTTTCTCTTTTTTGTCTCTTTCTTATGGAGGGACACATCCTCTTCCTCCTAAGCCAACAAACATGATCCCCTTAACATTAGGGCCAATCCTGTTTGAACAGTTTAATCAGCTTGGAAGGGCAAGGACTGAGAAAGCAGATTGTGGCTTTTAATCCCTTTATAAAATGTACTGACATACTAGGCTGGAGATTTACTATGCAGAATCCAAAAGGCCAAATGATAGCTGAAGTTATACCTCTGTCACCTAGACTAACGTGGATTGATCTGATGAACTTCCTCTGTAAAGAATGATACAGATTTCTGGTGACACATTCATATAGTTTCTTGACAATAGAACAGCAGTGGTTTGTCATTGCCTTTTCCTGAAATAAACTTCCCAGTATATCCTACAACTTTTGTCAATAACATGTAGTTAAAAAAGTCTTAGCCTTGGTTTTTAATTTGCCTATTTGGATCATTTGATAAAACCCAGAAAACTGCTATTGTTTTCAAAATTTCCTCAATTTTGAACCCAAATTTAGCATAGAGAGTACAACAAAATTTTAATAAAAGCATCATTTCCATTATAACAACGATACAGCCAACATTTTTAATGGTTAATATTTCTATTTCATGCGAGGTATTTTAATATTTCCGATAAAAATTTAAAGGCTACCTATAGACAATCCAGAAAGCAAACAAATAGGTAGGCACACAAGTAACTGTAATTCCAAAATGTAAGAAATCAGAGCAGATAAAAACATGTAGTTGAGTCATGGCCTAAGTAGCGATGAGTATCATTAGCATGACACTACTAAAGCCAGTTGTCTCATGTAAATTAATATTAGCACTGCTGGGCTGGATCTCCATCTTCCAGAAACAGGTGCAGCTTAGTTTTGAGGAAAATAATTGCCACATATATAATTGAACTTGTGCTTCATAACTACATCCAGTAGACTTTCAATGTTGTAAATCTGGATTTTCACTGGGTATGCTAACCATCTAATATAGGCTGGATGTTACTTTCTGCATAACAACTTTACTGCTTGGGCCTGTTGCAATAGCCCTGCATTTCAAAATGTTCTCATGAAGGTTAGCTGGACTGATAAACTCAAAAATTCTGGAACTGGAAGAGAAAATCAATAGGAATATTATATGCATATGGAAGTAATTTAGGCATACATAAAGAAGACCATTTGCTTGTTTCATCCAGATTCTTTTAGTGATCAAGTCCTCTATATCTTTTCCTGAATATTTACAAATGTATTTACAGGTGATGGAAGGAAGCATAGTTTTTAATTAAAGCTTTTATCTAATACAGGAAATTTCTGAGAGAAAAATGAAAGTTTTTCAAACAATTTAAAATAACACCACAGCCTTTCAGCATCACAGATAGATATTAAAGCAAATATTTCTTTGTACATAGTGCAGGAAACTTCCTCTAGCTATTAAGTGGTTTGTATTGGAACACACTATACTCAGATGCATCACTGAACAGACTCTCATTCAGAATAGTACTACTTCCTATGGGTAAAAATCCGTAATTTCTTCATTTTTTCCTAAAATAATACACATTTGCTAATATGTGCTCTTCTTGTCATACTATGCAGGTAAATCTTGGGTGGGGAGATTCTATGTGGAGCAAGCAATCTTGGAGATTGCCAGATTCCAACAATATAGGACTTTAAAAATGATCACCGTGACCCTGAAGTACACCTGGAAACAAATGAACAATTAATATGCCTCCCTACCATATTATTACTGCATTGTACCTGTTAACAGGTGGACCCCTGCATTTTTCATTTGCTTCAGTTTTAAAATGTAGAGTACATTACTGTACAGTAATTCTTCCATGAGATGAAGGGTGTTGAGTGACTATAGTCAGTCAACAATAGCCTTTCTCACCACAGCTTCTATCTGATCCAGCAGAAATGAATTCAGGAACATCTCATGATAACACACCATTTTTTCCCCTTAAAAATCATACCTCTGTCCAGATCTGATAATGGAATTTTCCCAACAGCCAACAGCCTGAATCCACAGCCACTCCATCTTGTTGGGGTTGAATCTCAACCTGCTTCTTCCCATCCAGATCTTTACAATTTGAGATAGTGGGTCAAGATTTTCACCACAACTCCTATATATCCTAGAGTGGAGATACATAACTGAATATTACCAGCAAATATTTTTGATGCCAAACCCAGCCCCATCAGACAATCCCCCCTAGGAACTTCATGTACAACAATTATGAAACAGAGTGATAGAGAAGATTGAGCCCTGAGGCATGGATTCAGCATCTCTGTCTTGACATATACTTAAAACTGCCCACTCAGAAAGGGAGAAATAATTTTAATACCTGTTATAGCTATCGCATTATGGCTACTTTAAATACACACACACATACACACACATACGAACACACATATGTATATCTCTAGATGTGTGTATGTATACATATAGATGTATACATACACACATCTAGAGATATACATATGTGTGTTCGTATGTGTGTGTATGTGTGTGTGTATAGATGTATACATCATGGCTATTCTATAAATGTATACAAAGATGTGATGAGTATGAAATTAAAATGATTATTCAGACAATTATTATTATAAATTCTTATAAATCTTTGCTACAAATGGAGATTATTTTTCAAGAAAATGCTGGCAGGCATTAAATCTTGAATTTTGTCTTTGTCATATTAAACTGCACTCCACTTCTGAATGCATCACTATATTTTTTTCTGAACATTTTGGCCTTTTGAATATTGAAAGGTTTTCCTGTATTTCTGGATCAGATATTAGGATTATTTTATTGATTTGGTATGGTATGAGCAGTTCCAAACTTAGGTCCATTTCTATCATAACTTTTTAAAGTATCATTTAAAATAAGATAATAAGAAATATTTAGCCCTTTAACTTCTTTTCCAGGCTTTTCTATAGAATAACAAATTAAAAATAAATCCTGGAAAAAATTTGTTACATCTCTGAATCTAAGCAATCTTGATTCCATATCCCAGCCAAAATCCTAACTGAAGTAGGCCCAGATACAATGTCATTCAGCTAAATCTGGAGTTGTGAGGCCATTCCTATCTCCATCACTTTAGCCGGAAAAAATTCTTTTAAGACTGACCAATAATTAGGCTTTTCAAGCAAATACAATGTTTTCTAAATACTGTTCTTGTCAGTCTATCTTTAGACAGAAAGGGAATTCACATCCTATAATGAAGTAGTAATCACACACACACACACACACACACACACACACACACAGAGAGAGAGAGAGAGAGAGAGAGAGAGAGAGAGAGAGAGAGCGTCAGCCAATAGGAAGAAACTTCACACTTCTCCAGATCTTCAAAATCAACAAGTGAAAAATTATCCAAGCCAGGATGAACATAATATTCTGCCCCAACACTGGCATCTAAGGCAAAGTGGATTCTTGCAGCTCTCCAGCATCTGTATACAGTATAGAGATTCTACACAAAGCAGGAAGAAATTACTATTGATTTATTTTGCACAGATGCAGTGAATTAAGTAAATATTCAATGGACTCAAGGGGAAAAGGGAAATCTGTGAAAATGATCTCTCTCTTCATGGAGCACAAAAGCAAATTTTGAATCACAACCGGGTACAGATGATTTAAACTTCACTTAAATGTATTTTACATTTCCTCCAGAATTTTAGGACTCTTCATCCGTGGCATTGAGGAAAATAGCCGGTCTAAGCGGGATGGACTTTTCTATGAAAATGAATGCATTGTGAAAATTAACAATATTGAACTTGCAGATAAAACCTTTGCACAGTGAGTTTTTCTTCATTTTCCTTATTTTTTCACTTCAGATCAATCCAAAGTTTCAAAATTTAAACAATTGAACAAAAGAATTTAAATTTCTTTTTTCTCTAGTATAGCACTAATATTTTTCTAGTACAGATGTCTGGA